TATCACCTAGCTAGCGGTCTCCTTTGTTTTTCAGGTCCGTATTGGCGATTATAAAACAGACAGAACGTAAAACACAAACCATGTTGTAGTTTTCTCCTGCTTGTTGTTGTGTTTACTGACGAAGTCACTCGTGTGACTTCATGCTCTGTCGGTGACAGCTGCTCCCCTGCTGCTTCGCGTCTCGTGGGAAGGGCCAAGCAGCAGCTTACGCGAGCAAGACGTGCTGCTGCAGTAACGTGCTGCTGACGGCTCCCGTGGAAAACCGGGGTGATACTTAAAACTTTATTGTCATTGTTTTTTGGTTGCTTTTTAAATCTGACCAGACACGGAGACAGAGGTGAAAGAGAAAGGAAGAGGTGGGTGGGTGGGGTTCCACAAACATAAACAATCAAATGATGAACAAGAGCCTGCTTCTAGACCTGCAGAAAGAGAAAAATAAATAAAAAAAAGGGGGGGGGGGGGGAGACGCATAACAATGCAACAAGAACAAGCTATCACTGTGTCAACCTAATGAGGAAATATAAAATCAACATTGTTTTGCTGAGCAATCACGATAATAAATCACAGTGCATTAAGTGCCAACCACAGCCTTATGACATAGTGAAAATGCCCAAGTCCATACTTATGAGAGCACCATGTGAGCACCTGTGTGCGTTCACGCGCTTGTATATGTAAGGTTTCTCTATAGGAGAGTCCAATAGAGAGTGTGAGGGGCCAAAGATCTGCCCCCCAAAAGATGTGTAGGAGATGGAGGGAGAGTACGTTTTTCTGGTAATCATGCAGCCGTACTGGTTCTTAACGAATTTTAAAGTCTCTTTCTGGAGTATTTATCTTATCCAATGACACCATCTAATGGCTGACAAGCATATCACACAAATAATATCTCCTTTAGTTTTTTTAAGATGGTGACTTCACGTTTCTTGTTTATAAATGTGCTTCTGTAGCTGACAAACAGAGCTAAAACACGTTGTTTTAAAAGTATTTTCATGTCATGTTGTGTTCTCATATATATTTTAAAGACTTACTTGTACGTGAAAAGTTCGTCAACTCTGCATCGGCTGAGGTGTTTCTTAAATTTGAAGCATGCAAGCGGTAGTCTAAAGCTATTACTTAGTTCTGGTCCGCGCTTGGTTTCCTATAGGGAGTATAAGTCATGCCCATCTATAGGGCTGCAGCGAAGCCTCGACGAAGTCGACGGCTCGATTCTAATAATTTGTCGACGTCAGATCCGGAAGTCGACGCACCGCGCCCACTTGTTGCATCCCCAGGAGTTTGTAAATAGAGGAGGAATCTGCCTGTTTTTCCTCTAGTTCGCCCTCATCTCCGCCTTCACTAACATCTCCGCCAAATACCGAAGACCCGGAACAATGTCCGTCCACTACTAGATTATTTTCCTGTTTTGTCCCTTCGTCTCCCGGCAACGGACAACAACTTCCGGGGTCAGATGCGCTGCTTCGTGTCTATCGCAGATGTAGAAAATCACCGGGAGCGCTTCTCCCTTCATTAAGGAGCTTCTTTCAGACATGAGGAGAGCTGTTTTGGTGGTAGCAGTCTCTCCTCCGTGCTGGTCTGTTTGCTGCTGGGTGTTTTTGGTTTATTTAAACTTGGTAACTTGAACTTAACGTTGGTAAAGCTACTGTTAGCATCTTCGCTAACAGCTTCTTGCGTTGGGATAAGCTGTTACGTTTTGGTTTAGAGTTCATCTTTTTTGTGGTGTAGATCTCCCTTTTATTACATTTAGAGTGTTATGGGTTTTCGGTTTAGTGTAAAATATCACCTGAGTTTGGTTTAACCCGTAAGACCACTCGCCTCACGCACATAAGTGACCAAAACAAAGCAGCATGGAGACACTCCATCTTCTACCACCTCTCAGGCAGCAGCCTGCACTCCCAAGTTCTACACGTCACCAGAACATAACCAACCAACACAATAAACGCAGTGTTATACAAAATGGAAGGCCTGTAGTGTTTATTCTCTTACAGTAAGAATTTATCAATTTTTTGAGGAATTTATTTGAGATTTTCTGGTTTTTGTTAATTGTGCAATAGAAAAATAATCATTAGATTAATTTTCTAAATAGTCATTAGAATAGTCGACTATTCGATAAAATAATCGTCAGAATAATCGTTTTAAAAATAATCGTTTACCCCCAGCCCTACCCATCTACTTCCGGACCATGGGTCCCCGGAAGAATGAAAAATTGAATGCAAGTCATTGGGGCTAAAAACGCAATTTTCTAATTTAGCTTGTTTTGTGCCATGGGTTTCACATATGATGTCCGTGAATTTTAAAGACGCATATTGATACCAAGGACACGCTTATTTTTGAACAAGGGGAAACGCTATTTTAGGTTTTGTGTGAAATTAAGTCCAGGACTACAAATGCACTTCACAAAAGTGACGTCATCAAACCAGACACGGAGAAAACTGAGGAAAAAGTTCAGCAAACTTCCCACAAGAGGAAAGAACCACCATAAATCTGGTCATGTGGTAGCATCTACTTTGGGGAGAGGAGATTATGTGGTGATGTCACATATGCGACGTGCCGATTTCTGGCTTGTAGTCATGCTAATTATGAACTTTTACAAGCTGATAAATCTCAAAGTACGTGACTGGTGTGGTCAAAATACCCATCATTACTTTTCATTTAAATTACAGTACAACATATGTTTGATCCAGGGCGTAAGGCTAATTCAATTCATTTCAAGTTTATTCGAAATCACGACAAGAGTCGTCTCAAGGCACTTCACACAGTAAACATTCCAATACAGTTCAGCTCAGCTCATTAAGCCAGTCAGTAAAAAGTGCACTATATAAGGAACCCAGCAGATTGCATTGAGTCACTGACTAGTGTCAGAATCTTTACAACAATCCTCATACTAAGCAAGCATGTAGCGACAGTGAAGAGGAAAACTCCCTTTTAACAGAAAGAAACCTCCAGAAGATCCTGGCTCAGTATGAGCAACCATCCACCACGACTCACTGGGGATCAAGAAGACAGAACAGACACACATGGACAAAGCAGGTTAGAAAATAGTGTTTTCATCCCCATTGACTTGTATTCATTTTTTCGTTCTTCCGGGGACCCATGAGCCGACCGGAAAGGGAGGAGTCTTAGGCTCCCTATGGCACGGAGCTCTATGGGGCAGGGGGCATGCTTAGCAAAAATAATAATAAAAATACATAGTGCTTTCATTAAATCACAGTACATGATGAGATAACCACTTTTACGGATTTCTGAAAAATCATACATCATTTCTGAAAGGGGTAAAGTCTGGAAAGATACTTTAACTTAAGCCCAGTTTTACATGTTTACTGTAATGACTTTAATAGTAATCTCAGGTATTCCTGCCATGTATGGTATGTTAAGAGGGCTCTAATCTTTTCGGAAGCACATTGGGATGTGAATATGTTGGCTTGTCTTGCCCTGTTTTCGAGGACTAATGAGTGTGCTGCCTATTGAACGTAACATGTAGCTAATAAGAAAACAAGGCAGCAGAAGCAGGGGAATTCAAATCCTTCTCCGCCATGTTTGTTTACTTTTGATAGGTTTTGCGAGATTTCCCATCTGACTTGGAATGTCATTAGTGCGGGGTGTGTTGTCTTTGCCATGTGGCTGGACACCACACACTTCAAGACCAAAACTGACATATTTGTGATTTTTATCACCACATTTGTAATCTTTCATATTTTGAAAATCATCTGTTAAAATCTTGCTCTGCAGCATCTTGCAAATTTCCTAATATAAAGGATGTGTACTGTAGTTAATTTTGATTAGCAAAGCTGTTTCTTTTCATGTATTGTGCTTTTTGGTTGATATATTTCTGTTTTATCTTGTCGGAATCATTTTGGGTCCGATTTAAATTGGTTTGGTGGATTAAAGTGGCTCTGAGTCAAAGAAAAAGTGAAAGGTGTTTTCAAAGGATCAGGATTTGAAGAAATTTTTAAGGTTTTTGGTTACGTTAAACTACAGTTTAGCTGTAGTTGTTTTTCTATGCATTTATCCTTTTGTGTATTCGTTAGAGACTCTTATTGCAGTCGCTGCAATGTCTCGATAGCCAGAGTTACTGAACTCCTGCTGAATGAATCTGCAGGTTTAGGAATGATGCTTTTCACAGTAAAACACTTAACATACAGTAGAGTATCCACGTTGTCTCTGTAGGCATCGTCACAAGTTATTTGACAACAACGTAAATTTAACAGATTTGCATCTGTAGGTACAAACAGAAATTATGTGACGTGGTAAAATCTATTTTTATGAGTATTCTGATGTCCTGATGCTTTTTAGACATTGGGGCTGTTTTGAAACTGAGTTTATCTATACAGCCTTTAAGAACAGAAGATTGTTGTCTTCTTTTCTGCATGCTTCCTTGTTTCTTTCCACTCAAAACCTTCAAGGACTAAAATGTTATCTAAAACATAGGTAAAGGCTTTGTCTCGACCTCTCCTTTCATGTACTTATTGACGTGTTTAATGCTCTCTCTCTCTCTCTCTCTCTCTCTCTCTCTCTCTCTCTCTCTCTCTCTCTCTCTCCCCCCCCTCTCTCTCCCCCTCTCCAAGACAAATGCATAAACAAAGTTACATATTTCACTTAAGTAACTTTATTTCAAAGAGATTCGTTTAATTATGACAAACAGGAAAAGTCTTAAAAACAACCATTGAAAGCATAATTTCTATTTCCCTTTTGTTTGAAATCGCGTAGCTTTTCAGGAATCGTAGACAGTAAAATTTAAACTCTAGGATTTGAGAAGCCTGACAGATCTACGTCACTCTGTCACTTAACATTCATGGACTCGCCCATCTTGACTCGCGACGGGGAAGGCTGGTGTTGGTTTGTTAAACATTCAGTATTATTACATTTTTGGGTTGCTGCCCAGCCCTACTTTAAGGCGTTTTTCTACCGCCTTCTAAATGCCTTATCCACATTGTCATTGTCTGATTTGTGACCTGAAGAATGTTTCTGCCTTTGCAATATCTGACGGTGTGTTTTTTCTGTTTCAGGTTAGCGTTATATGTGTACGAGTACCTGCTACATGTAGGAGCACAGAAGTCAGCACAGACTTTTTTGTCTGAGGTAAGATAACATCCCTGAACCAAAACTTGGAAAGGAACTCTTAACTGAATGTTTAGAGAATGCTTTTCATTTGACAGTTTCTGTGGAAATCACCTGTTCTTACCTTCAGCCAGCTCCTGTCGTAACTTGTTTACTGAAAGTTCTGGATGCAAAGCAACTCTTTTCATTCCTAAGCTTTTAACTATAAAGTCTTAAATTTTGGGATATATTTAAAAAGTTTGTCTGCTTTCTACTGGGGCTTAAACTAGAAAATATGACCTCACATGAAAGTAATGAGATGCAAAACCATATTGTAATTTTAATTCAAACAAAACTGAGATGTTAAGATAATCCTTACCCTTTTAATGTGAAGTAAGAGGTTAAAGTGACAGTGTGTATTTTTCCTGGCGATAGGGGGGGGGGGGGGGGGGGGGGGGCGGCAGTAGATACCTAAATCATTGCAAGCAAGTAGTATTTTTGTGGTGGAGTTCGACCTTACCAGCGGATGCCCATTAGGATCAAAAAGCCCTGGAGACTGCAAACTTCAGCAAAATGGAAAGCACATCAGACTTCCTTTCATCACTTACAACTACCAAGGGGGTAAATGTGTAAAACAACAATGTTTATGAATGATGAAAGTTTTGTAACAGTTTGTTACAAGTCAGTAAATGCATTTTACTGACTCTCATGGGCTCCCGTAGAAGGAAACGCCCAGAGACTTAGACCCGCTCCCTGATTTCTTTGGTTATATGTGACGAAGCTGCCAATATTTTTCAACAAATGGGCATCATTTAATTCCTTTTTAGCAACATTTCGATGGATATTTCCTGAGATTAATGATAAAAACTACACAGTGTCTCTTTAAGTTTGACCACCTCTTCGCAGTCAGGAGTTTTGGCAGGTTGCTGGTCTGGAGCATACAGGCGTGTGTTAACACACTAAAGAACTCTGCAAGTGGATGTGCAATTTTAGAGGAAATGTATAATGTGAGTCTTAACTGGCGTCCTTTACTACCCTTAGGGTTGTCACGGTGTGAAAATTTAACCTCACGGTTATTGTGACCAAAATTATCACGGTTTTCGGTATTATCGCTGTATTTTTTTAAACGTGTTACATTTTCAGACAACTAAATAAACCCTGTAAATCAGGAAAATATTGTCCTCAGTTTGTCTCTAAATTTTCCCTAAAATTTGTTATTTTGTAATGATGTTGTTTATTTGTTTACATTTTTCTCCTTTAGTCTTTAAAATACCAATATTTGCCCATAACTTCTTAATTTATGTCTGTTTGATGTCATCATTTTAAAAATATTAGATCAGATGACACTCAGTACTCAAGTAGCCTTCTAATCAGATACTTTTTTACCCTTACTTGAGTAATAAACCCTATATCAGGAAAATATTGTCCTTGGTTTGTGTCCTTCCAGTGAGCTTTGCAGATATGGAAAAATGTCATCAGGCAGTAATCATTGTTAAATTCATAATTATTCTCGGAGAGAGACCAATTATCTGCCCCTGGGAGCCCCGTAATGCATAGCGTCATTTCAACAAGGATGTGTCCGCGACACGGTTTATATGCAGGTAGCGGCGCTGCGGCTGCTTTATATAGCGACTCGTTGCATTCTCCCTCAACCCAAATCCTCGGATCACGCATTTTAGCTAAAACGCTAACGTTAACTTGCCTTGCGTTGACTGTAGAGTTGTGGGTGATGGTCACGCAGATGTGTCATGAGATTTGAAGTGTTGCTGCCTTTCACAGATACTTTTTCTGCACGTGCTGCAAACAGGATAGCCGTCTTCTATCAACTGTCCCTCGGCATTCTTCAAATATCCAAAAAATGCCTGTACTTCCGACTTTGTCTTCTTTGAGGGATAATAAATGTCCTGAGTGCTGCCGTCTCCTAGCCTGGCAAGCCAGACCAAATAAATGTATTATTTAGTCTGGCAACGCTCCATTGACGGCTCTCGGTTGTGGGGCGGGTTCTACCGTTGTCTTTCAAATGATCTCCGCATTCCACTGGACAAGGAATGTGACATACTCTTGTTTCACTCTGTTGCATCATCCCACCCACCAGGCATATAGAGTGCCCTGATTGGCCCACAAAGCGGATTAAGCTCTGTGATTTGTTCACTAAGCAGATAGAGCACTATGATTGGCCCACCATTATGGACCAATCACAGCTCTTTATGTGTTTGAAACCCCTCTAGAGAGCTGTGATTGGCCAGCCAGAATGCCGTTGGGGCTGCAGAGGTTCCAGTGAAGCATGCCTAGACCAAACTTTGCAAAGCAAGAATTTGGTCTAGTTCACTAGGCTAGCCGTCTCCTCCTCTGGACATTATTTCAGCTTTAGCTTCAAGAAAGTTTTGGTTGTAAACAACAAAGCGCGCATGTGCCGCCGGCAATTTCTGCAGATGATACGGTGGCTGGTAAGGGTCACCGCGCTTACACCGCAGCCACAGTAATCCACCGAGATAATATTTTTTTTTAAAGACAAGACGGTTATTATTTTTGTCAACTTTTTTACCGGGGTTTACCGCCACACCGGTTACTGTGACAACCCTAACTACCCTAATGTCAAAGTTCACAACAGCAAGTCAGATAAAGACTAGACCAGTATGGTTTGTGCGGAAGTCACAAGTAGGAGTCCTCTTCTCTCTCCAAAACTTCTGAAACTGTTGCATTTGGAAAAACAAAAATAGAATGGAAATGTTTGGTTAAAATTTACAGCCTAGCACAGGGATAGTTTTAAAGACATCTAGTTGATTATTTTGTATATTAAAGTTTTCTAGAGTTAAAGGGGAAAGTAATCAACTGTGTACTGTGTATAAAAAAAGAAAAGTAATGGATTTAAAGGGGACATATTACGTCATTTTTTATTAAACTGGAAAAGTTCTGTGGTAGGTACAAAACATGTTCATAATGTTCTTTGCATTAAATTCCTTTCACAAAAAGCTATTTCAGCAGTTTTAGTCTGTACCATCTCAGTACCTTCCAGAATGAGCTGTTTCAGGGATCTGTAATGTAAAAAAAGAAGCTGGATCTGGCCACGCCCACCTCTTCCCCCCTCAGGCTGCTATAAACTGAGAAGCTCTGATACACGGGAGGGGCTCGGTGTAGAGCCACTGCTCCCCCAGCAGCATCTCTCTTTTGCGTGTGAGAGGTGGTTCTATTCTACTTTCACCATTTGTGACATCACAAGTGGGGACTTTTTGAAATGGCTTGTTTTAGGCACGTGATTCCTAAAACCAAACACTCAAAGAAAATGGATGGATGGGTGGGTTTATTTCCAAGTCGCACTGCTGTGTGGTATGATCCTGTTTAGAGAAAATAAATAAATTTAGTTCGTTTCCAAACTTAGTGAGTGATAAATAATTTCAATATTGACCAAAATAATCTCTATTTCAGTTTTTCCATAAGCGAGTCGCCCCAACTTGGGACTTTACACCTGAAGAGAGGATCAAATTTGCTATTTAAATGGATTTAAAATTCTTGCTTCTCTATATCACTTTTCAAGCAGAGGCTGAGTTCACACCTACTTGATGGGACTGCTTAAACATCAAGCAATTTGCTTTAAAGAATCAAACCACTTATGTTATTACCCTGAAACCGGCACATTTGTTTATAACCCTTCACAATAAGAGCCTCATGAAAAAGAACATTGACATAAATCCTTTTAAAACTATTTAAATAAGAGCCGCAAGCAAATTGATGTGACAAATAAATGAAGAACAATTATATTAATATAGCTGGAAACACAGTAATGCTGCTAGAATTGAAGTTTGTAGGAGAATTTTTTGCACATTTTCAGCACAACTTTCTTACACCATTTTATCCCCACATACAGCTCAACACACTCACATTTATTCCTTACTAACTGCATAATGTAACAGTATTTCTTTGTATTTACATAATCTTCTGGTTAGGACTTGTCCTCTCACATAAAAATTCCCAGCTGGAAGAAGCTTGGACTTTTTTTTACCCCTTGAATGACTTCCTGCTTGATTGTGTGCACAATGAAAATGCAAACAGGCCTGACTTTATTACAGAATGAACCACGTAGTATAAATAGAGTCCTGTACCTGATTCTTCTAACTGTTCCAACACCAATAAAGCAGTCGGTTTTATTCATTGTGATGTTTTGTGTTTTAAAAATCTGCTTCAAACACCAGCTAGGACGTAAAAGTTCTTTGCCGCGGACCTGCAGACATTTCCTGTGGCCACTAGTGACTTTTCCTCTCTCCTCAGATTCGATGGGAGAAGAATATAACATTAGGGGAGCCGCCCGGATTCCTTCATTCCTGGTGGTGGTAAGTGTTGCTGTCACTTTCTGCTGAATCAGCAGTTTCTCCTCTTTTATTTATTTTTAAGTAAGCGGGTTGAGTGGATTTGCTACTGAATGAGCAGATTTTATTGTAGATCTCTTAAGCTTTGTATCCTTGTTTTTGGTACGTAAATGCTTTACAGAGCTGCTGAATCTTTCCTGGCCTGTCATAATTCATTACGGTATCGTGGACTAACAGCGTCTTTGTTTGAACTGCGATGGGTCGGGGAGCTGTGGTCACATTTTCTATAATTTGCCAAATAAACATTGAAATAATGATGTGCATATGCAAAATGACGTTTGGGTTTAATCGAACACCGAGTTCAGGAAATAAAAAAACAATATTCTAGCAGAGCATTGACCAGACTAACTGAGGGCGTGACGCCCCAATCCCCTCTTTTTCCTCCCCCTCCTCCAGCTTTTCAACCTTCACCGCCATTTCTGAAACAATAGATCCAGATGGTTGGGGAATGGACCCCCAGCTCCCTTCCTCCTCCTCCTGCTCCTCTCCTCACCCTTTGTGTGCCCCCCCACCACCTCAGACTTTACCCCCCTTTTGTTCACATGGGAGAAGGCTTTTTAGCAGATTAACCCGATGCATTCCAGCTTCCTTTGTGTGTCACCTTCCACCTCCCCCCTTGTCATTTCTGCCCCCTTGCAAATCTGACCTGTTCGGTCAACACCTTGAGCACTGACCAGCTCTTTGCACTGTCATACGTAGTGGGACCAAGGTGTTTCTGTCAGCATAAAATAATCCCACAAATGGCCAAACACACAAAGGCTTTTTCTTCATTTGCATATGCATAGCAGATAAAGACACAAAGATGTTTCTCTCACCATCTTTTAAATCAAAAATGTTAAATAATATATTTGTCGTGACATGTTTTGAGTTTAGACCCAAAGATTTACCAAATTCCGTGAAATTATATTATCCTTCAGTTTCTGCATTTTGCATTTACAACAGCTCATAGAGTGCGTTTACATGCAGCCAGTAACCCTTTTAAAACCCGAATATTCACAATAACCCGGTTCCGCACGGCCATGTAAACACCGCCAAGAACCCGGATATGCTCTTAACTGGGTTTTTTAAAACCCAGTTACTACACCTGGGGTAACCCTTTTCTAACCCGAATGTTTGGTCGTGTAAACGCATATCGGGATATCCCCATCAAAGCGTGTGTTCTGCGCATGCTCTGTTCGCAAGGAATCTTGGTCTTTTGAATAGCGAGACTTCTTGTATGCGCCAGAACACCGGAAGTAAACAACAAGTTGGGAGCAACACGGCGAGTCGCAGTAAGAGCTGCTGGTGGGTCAATACCAGCACTAAAGCGCAAACAAATGCGGTCGCTATCTCTTCTGAACTGGGAAACATGTTGTTGTTTTCACGGATACCAGAACAAGAAGAACCGGAAATGACGCATATTGCGTCTGGACGTAGTCCATACGTCCTGACGCTACCCCAATGTTCGCATTTAAATCGGGTTATGCAGGTTAGGGGTAACTCTTTCTATTTATGCTTGTAAACGGGTTATTCTGATCAACTCAAAAACCCAAATACCGACCTTAACCCGATCATAACCCGGATATTGGCTGCATGTAAACGTAGTCATTGAGAGTTAAGCTCAAGCTTACTAAAGAAGCTAAAAAAGACCCGATAATGGCTGTTTACTTACTAACGAGTGGAAATGCTACAACCTGGTTGGCCGAATGGGTGAAGAGCTCCACTTGATTGGTCAAAAGCTTCATGCTTCTATTTGATTCCATTTGAGCTGACCATTCATTGTGATTTTTTGCTGTTTTTTTGTGATATGCGTATTTCGTATGCTGATATTGCAATGACGATACATTTGTGATGTATTGTTTAGTCCTACTTTCTTCGTACATAAACATAATATACCTCATTAAAAATCTGGGATTCTTGTGCTTCCAGTGGTAAATGCCAATCAAGGATACAACCATAACTGTAAATTAGAAAATAATGTTTAATTAATTTTTAGATGTCACCCTCCCTTAATTTACACCTGTCCTAAGATTTTCCACAAACATGATTACTGTGAGTTGGTCATTTAAATTTTTTATGTTCTTGCTGTGGCGATTAATTAGCATTAGAGATCAACCAATAAAGGTTTTGCTATTGCCGACATGTAGAGGTCATGCTCAGCTGAGGGCCAAAATAAAAAAGGTAAATATTGGGCTGATATTTTGACCAATTGATATATCGGTCTATCCCTGGTTGACATTTATAGCGCCTGTTGGAACAAAGCTAATGCTATCTCTTAAAGAAACACTAAAGAGTTTTAACTCTTTAAGCTATTGCTTTCAGACTGGTTTCAGTGGTTCTTGAGCCAGAAAGCTGAGCAGCATCACGTGGGACCTCACTCTTCAACCCTCTGCCGACCAGAAACTGCACTAACTGACCTTTCTCAGTGGCCTAGTGGTAGAGTGTCCGCCCTGAGACTGGGAGATCAGGGTTCGATTCCTGGCCGGGTCATACCAAAGACTTTGAAAAAATGGGACCCAATGCCTCCCTGCTTGACACTCAGCATTAAGGGGTTGGATTGGGGGGGTTAAACCACCAAATAGTTCCCGAGCGCGGCTGTGTCTGCAGCTCACCGCTCCCCCAGGGGATGGGTCAAATGCGGAGAACAAATTTCGCACACACACCTGTGTGTGTGACAACTAATGGGACTTTAACTTTAACTAAACATCTTTGGTTGTTCAGCAAGATAAAGTCGGGGTGGAGTTTACTGTGTCAGTAGCTCACATAAATGCTAGCGGTTAGCTTTTTCAGTTCACCAACTGTCGATAAAAAGCACACAGACATTTTGTTAGCATCACGGTAGAGCCTTGGAATAAAGGGAACAGCGTAATGTCTTAGCAGGTGAAGCAGAAAGCTAAAACCAGGGTGAACTTTGGAGCGACCTACACTCTTTGCTTGGGTTGTTTCCATCAGTTGTATTTCCACACTCATCCAGTAGGGGGAGCACTGGGAAACTTATTAAGTGCTGCTTTAATTTGTTATTACCTTGAGTTTCCATTTTTAATATCAAAAGTTTTGGACTAGATTAGTATTGTCACCAAAATATATTAACTGGAACAAAGTACTTAGCATTGTGAGTTTCTTGCTCCAGACTTCCTGCAGGGAATTTCCACCCATCCTCTCAGTAAAATGTCTGAAAGATTACTGGGCAAGACAATGTGCAAACGTAGCAAAGCAGCAAATCTTCTAAAGCATTAAGTGTGAGTGTGTGAAGCCTTTGTGCTGGTAAGAGTTGCTGCTTCATGCTTTTATCTGCTGACCTCTATGTTGCGTTCTGCACGCTCGTCAATATTGTGGATGCATTCAAATACGTGTGGGATTGATATCAAAACGTAGAGTCATCGCAGAGCATCATTCAACATTCTGCCTTGACTGAAAAACAGTGATTTCCACTCCACGTCACGCTTTTCGCATCATTCAAAAAAGTTTTATTTTAGATAGATGCTCCTTCACAGCCTTGTACTTGTATTTTATGTTATTAGAGCACATCTCCAGTAGAACATCTCCTTCTGTAAAATACTTAAGTGAACAGGAATTGTGGCAAAAGTCTGTGTGTGCACACGTTCTTCAGTGTACATTTGTGGAAATAACCTCAAAAGTTCAGATTGGATCACAGTTATCAAAGCTGACCTGTTTAAACTCAGCCACCTTCAGATTTGAGAGCTTAAACATACATCGGCTGCTTTATGACTAGCGGTTAGCCTATCAGTCTTTTTTAATTTTAAAATCTTTTCTGAACTAAAGCCATTGAGGAAACTTTTGACTATAGTGAAGATAAATATTTGTAACTGTTACACTGACACACACTTCATAATGGGCAAAAATAAATCAAAATATTTACTCTTAACCGTTTAAAGTGCTTCCATCTTTGCACACATAAAGTAAACTTTTACTTTGACAGTTATATTTTTTATAAGAGAACATCACAAACCTGCCCTGAAGGAGAAGAGTAAGTTTCACTAACGCCTTTTCTGGATTTACCTGGTATTTATTTATTTATTTTAAGTAGCTTTTTAAAGTATTTTAGCTTCTTGATGTGCTGTAAGCGACTGAAAACATTCAGGTAATTTACGTTGAACATGTCTGAGCGAAGCAGCTCGCCGGAACATCTGACTGATTAGTCGTCGTGATAGCCGTGCTGCTGTTCCAGTTGCTGTATAGAGTTTTGGTGCTCAAAAGAAGATCCCAGCTAGCACCGCGGTTAGCCGTTTGTGATTGTTTTGGGGTTTTGTTTTTCTCCCTTTGGGGAGCCTAGATACATACCTGATGTTTCTCTGTTGTGGTCAAACGTGGATCACACTCCCGAGTATTCTGAGGATGTCACAGAGCAGTGTAACTGTAAAAGTGTAAGTTCAAGATCTGTAGAGGGGGTCCGGTGTGTGTGTGTGTGTGTGTGTGTGTGTGTGTGTGTGTGTGTGTGTGTGTGTGTGTGTGTGTGTGTGTGTGTGTGTGTGTGTGTGTGTGTGTGTGTGTGTGTGTGTGTGTGTGTGTGTGTGTGTGTGTGTGTGTTTTTGAGTGAGTGAGAGGTTGATTGAGAGGGTGACACTGCCATCGTGTCCCTCTTACAAAGATACTCAAGTGCATAAGAGGTGGGTTTAAGAGTGCTGGGGAGATAATGAGTGTGTGTGAATGGGTTATGATGAATAGCTGTTGCACATGTGCTTGTATTGCTCTGTTGGCTAACCTCTGACCTCTTCTTCCTCTCTTCATTTTAGTGTATTCTGGGATTTGTATTGTGCAGCTCCAGACCGAAGAGAGACGTGTGAACACTCCAGTGAGGCAAAGGCCTTCCACGACTATGTAAGTGACAGATGGACCCTGCCAGTAGTTTTTGTTTGTGTTTTTACTCTGTTGCCTTATAACATTTATGTTTTTGAATGGCTGCTGAAGCACACGTAAACAGTGTTCATGGTTTAAAAAAAGAAACACGGCAGCACCCATTTGTGTCTAGTTCAGGGTCATTCAAGCCAGGACTACTAAAGTTGAATTTTTTTTTCCCAATTTTCTTTGATTTCATTTTTCTTTCTGTTTCTATGACCTTGACTCTATGTGTGAACATTTCTGGGATGTTTCTCTAACGATTTCAAATGTATTTTCTTTTTTATACAATAACTTTCCGAAAGTGAAGCAGGGCAAGGAACCCTTTTCTTGCTCAAACTCTATTTAACTAGGTAGATCACTCAATAAATCGTCAAATCGTCCTTTAGTTGGAAAGTGGCTGTTTTGATCCCTGACTTCTTGAATACAAGATCTAAGAAACATGGAGGCTTGAAATCCAACCTGACACAGTGGAGGGTCTCGTCTCATCTTCTTCCGCCTATCTGGGTCGCAGGGGCAGCATCCCAGCTAGGGAGTTCCAGACCCTCCTCGCCCCGGCCACTCCCACCAGCTCCTCCGGTAGGACCCCAAGGCATTCTTGGGCCAGTTCGGATATGTACTTTCTCCAACGTGTCCTGGGTCGACCAGGAGGCCTTCTGCCAGCAGGACATGCCTGAAACACCTCTCTGGGGAGGCGTCCAGGAGGCATCCAAACAAGATGCCCAAACCACCTCAACTGACTCCTCTCGATATGGAGGAGCAGCAGCTCTACTCCGAGTCTCTCCAGAATGTCCGAGTTCCTCACCCTACCCCTAAGGCTGAGCCCAGCCACCCTGCGAAGAACACTCATTTCGGCCGCTTGTATCCACGATCTTGTTTGGTTTGGTTATTACCCAAAGCTCATGACCATAGGTGGCGACTGTAGGTCCGCATCACTGCACACGCTGCCCCAATCCGCCTGTCGACCTTCCGCTCCCTCCTTCCCTCACTCGTGAACAAGACCCCGAGATTATTGTACTCTTCCACTTGAGGTAGGACCTCACTCCCAACCTGGAGTTGGCAAGCTGCCCTTTTCCGGTTGAGGTAGTCACAGAGCTGAAATGCTAGATGTGTTTAAGTGTCAGCCACCATTGCAGCATGAGAGTTTAATTTAATGGTGATGGACATTTGGAATCAACACACACTTTATGCGTAGACTCTTGAGTTATACCTAATGTCTCCTGTGGTTCTGTAGTAAAAGGTTCCGACTTAATTCATTCATTTACAGCTCATGCTAAAAATGAAATCCGCTGTGCTTTTTTTAATCTTCAGAACATCAATCGGGTTTGTGCATCTCTTTCTAGAAATGATACGAAAACCCTTGTTAATGCGAAGGTTACCTCCCACATTGACTACTATAATGCACTACTTGCAAGGTTTCCACAAAAACGTATTCACAGACTTTAACTGGTACAATCGCTGCAGCCCGCATCATCACCAGAACACCTTCCTCTCAACATATTACTCCAGTTCTTGAAGAGCCTCACTGGCTACCAGTGGAATACCGTATTGAATTTGAAATTCTCCTTCTAACATACACAGTTACTTATCTAAGTAACCTCCTTAGCCATTGCAAACCACCTCCTACCCTTCGCTGAACAACCAGTAATTTACTCATGACACCTCGTGTACATCTATCCTCTAGGGGCCTTAGGTCCTTTGGCTCTCAGGCTTCCCGGCTCTGGAATAAACTTCCTCCAGCAATTCGTTTAGCAACCTCTGTTCAACATTTTAAATCTTTGCTGAAAACACACAGATTCCGTGTGACTGGCGGAACACACTTACAGGCCAGGACAAATATTAGTGCTAAAGGTGATCATATTGTTGAATTTACTGAATGCACCTGAGCGAAGCATTTGACTATTGCCTATATTTTATCAATATTTTATTTCTTGATTCATCCAGTGATCTTGGATAACCTTTATTCGCTGTAGTAAATAATTTTACCTATGATTTTATGATGTTGTTGTGCTATGTATCCGTTGTCAAAGTGACCTTGAGAGTCCTGAAAGGTGCTTTCAAATAAAATTTATTATTATTATTATTATTAGGGCTGAAACTAATCATCGAATGATTGAAATGGTTCGATTCATTAAATTCCTCAATTTATTTTTTTACTAATTCAAAACTTCGTTTAATATTTGCGCCACAGTCTGAACACAATTTACTGGCAAACATTGTTGTAATCTAGGCGATTGGACAAATTTATCATTCATCGGCATAAGATTGACCCCTTCACCGATTTCTTTTTAAGACAAATATTTGTTGTGCTGATGAATTGGTCCCATTACATTACATATTTTAGGGTCAAACTGGCATCTTTGTACAACACTCTTTCTATGTACCTAAGCTAGGATTCTTGTGCTTTCAGTGATACAATATTTGCCAATTAAGGATACAACTATGACTAGATACAGTAAACGCTTTTGGAAACCACTCAAAATAATGTCTAACTAACAGAGCATCATATAATTTACAGAAAACGTTACAAAAACAATCTGTTTACATCCACAGGGGTCCAATAAAACAGTTACACCAGAATTGGACACCGCTGTCCCAGTGTGATTATCATTTGCAAACTTTCTGAATTAAAATATCTGACTGGATGTCTTATTATAGTTTCCTTACATTCACTCAACTTGGATATAATTTTGAGTGTTGAATTGTGAAATTCTGAAGAAGAAACAGTTGTTTCATTGTCTCTAAGGGTCATAGGTCAGGGGTCAACCACACTTCCAGAGTTTATAAGGATTTAAGCTTTTATATTAAGCTTGTTGCTTTTTTTCAGAACTCACCAAGTTTACATTTCTTGCCGATGTTCTAAATAAAATCTAAAGATGGTCAAAAGGAAAGTTTTTCACTCGCTGGGGTTAAAAGAAACCATCTGTGTTCTTGTATGTGTAAAGGTCGTCGGTTGTGACTGACACTGTAGCCTGTCTTCAGTCTATCCTCTGGTCAAGACAGTGTTGTGTGTGTGTGTGTGTGTGTGTGTGTGTGCATGCGCTGTGTAGTGTGAGGAGATAATGGAATAGAGTTCTAATCCAGTAATCCCAGCACAGGGCCAAGGCTAAGCCAGGGATTTGTGTGTGTGTCTGTGCATGTGTGTTTATGTGTGTTTGGGTTTGGATGGGGGGGAGGGGGGTGTCTTTGGCAACCAGCCCATAAGAGGGTGACTGGGCTCACACCCACCTTCCAGTTAATGCATGTAGATGTGTGTTCTACGGGGTTCCTTCTGTCTGCCTTTACCCGTGATAAAGTTAGGAGATGGGCCTGGTTTAATTCTGGCTCCGGCCCCCAGCGGCTCGCCTCTGAGCAGTCTTCTCTGCTGGTTTCAGAAGAATGAGCCGGTTAGAGGCGTCCGTCAGGAGAGGAAAACTCAGACATTTCACCTCAAAAGAGGTTTATATTCTTGTGAAATTGTCAGATTGCACGCAGGCATTAAAGTAGCATTATCACAGTTTTCTCTGCTGGGTGCAGACACACAGCAGAGGGTCGCGGTTACTGTCAAGGCTGCTTTTTTACTTTATCCTCCGTAACTGTAATGCAGAAGTTGATAACTGCTTTTAGTAACTAATCCACTGAGAGACTGGTTTGTGAGGTTTGGCTTCTTGTGCACAAGTTTTATTTTTATTTTTTTCACCCTCAGATTTATTTTGTTTTATGTTTGTGGAATTGATCTCTTTATATAAGCTTTCCCTAGGTGGCTTATTAAATCTAATGTAGAGAATGCCCTCATTATTGAGCATCTGTATTGTCATAATCGTGTTATGAATATATGTTAGTTGGTAAAGTATCTGGATTCAGTTTTATTCTTTGATTGATAAATGTGAAGTGGTGTTTCTCTGTTACTGTTTGTTTTTGTTTTTATCAAATTTACCAATCATTCAGCTGATGATCTGTTCAAATAAGTTGCATATGAAGGTATTTTAGCAGCAATTTACTCGGAAAATTGTTAATTGATTACATAGCATCTGCTCTGCCAGCCAGAAGTGATTACAGAGCATCCTTTTTTTGGCGATACTTATTTAAACTGATATGTTTTGTTTTATAGGTGGCTACTTTCTACCCACTGATTCTCTTGAGCTGATCTGTTTAAAGCTCATAAGCTTTGTTCACACCTGGCATTAACTTGCATCCTTAGTGATCCGATCACAAGAGAACGGCTCTTCGTCTTAGTTCACCCTGGCATTAGAACGTGGCTCCGGTATGTTTTTGAGTAATCTCTCCCTGATCCTCTTCTAGATTCAACTACCTTTTGTACTTCTAAAACCTAAGTAATAATGCTTTTGTCTGTTTGAGGTTGTTTTTTATTTTTATTTATTTATTTTTTGCAAATATCTCATGAAGGGGGTTTCTTATCTCATTAGAGAGTTTTTAAAAAAGCTCCCAGAAATTTCCAACTCTACGATTGTCTCCGACTTCAGTTTAAAAAAAAAGCTAAAACTCAGTTTTTGATACTTTGACTGTTTCCAAATTCAGGAGCTGCATCCTTCAAGGGTGCGCTTGAAGGCTAATTATGTTACAGCTATGTAGCAAAGTTCCACCCTATCTCACGACTCATTGCGGACCAAATAGGAGATTTTTGATATTGTTATAAAGGTGGACATGGGGAGAGAATTACAGCATTAAGTGTCAGGGATAAAATCTGACTTTACAAATTAGAATCTTAAACCAGTAGTGTTTTTAGGCTTTTGTCATTTACGCAGTATTTGTCCCTAAATGTAAATTTTGTCAAACGAGCTTGTATGGCGGTAAAGCTGCTATGGCTCCTCCCCAACGATAATACAAAAGCTCTGCAAAAGTTCGAGCTACATTCTGACTAGCTTATGTTTGCTGCTGTTACTGTTGCTGAGCAACAGGACATACAACAAGGTAAGGATGGGCACAAATGAAGGCTTTAACGTCCAAATTTATAGCCGCTAACTCCTTGTCTTCAATGTCGA